GCATTTTAGTGCTACAAAGAAAAATAGTACATAAAAAGTAAATTTTCCAAATTTTGAATGCTAGTTTTTCTTTCTTTCTTCACTTTAATCACTTCACTATCTTAAAATAAATAGTAATACATGTTTTTATAATAGGTCACAAGTGAAAAACCTGTCTGACCAATATTATGCTAATATATTTATTATCTATAAAATCCCTTTCATATTATTATGTTTTCTAAATATATTTTGTAAACAAATGGTGGTTGCCAAAGCCTGCTCAGTTTTGCTAAAATTTGGAATTCATGGTGCCTACTTGTGCCCAATTTTGCAAACAAAATATTTAATAAATTAATAAGAATAATAAGATTCAAATTGATAAGCCGGGTGCTCACGGCATGCGACTGTCTCAGCCGATACGATTCTATGGAGAAGCAGCGCCGCAACGCACATGCAACTGATCATTTTTAATGGCGATCTGTTTACACTGCCATCAACAGTCAGCAGACAGCGTAGCGTCGTCTATCGCACTCAGAGAGTGGAGTTGGATTTGTTGACTGACGGTCATACATCCGACCGTCATCCGTCAGGTGCCTTGCTTTATTTTCAAATTAGGCTCTCCAAATACTATTAAGAGCGCTTTTTCTGAGAGAGGTGTCATCTTAAGATTTTTCTCAGAGCAAGCAACCAGGGTAGAGCTGAGGTTAGAGAGATTATAAGCATACATGTGAAAAAATTATTAGATGTAATGTACGATATTAGCATATAAGTTCCCCACTCCCTGAGAATTATCCCCTCTGCTTCCTGCAGGCTTTTGCCTCATGCCTCACTTTCTCAAATTTTCAGTTCTCATATCATATTCAGATTCTGATTCAGATTCAAATTCAATTTATTTGGTCCAATAAATATGGAAATAACATGAGTACATTTTATTTCATTTAAATATTTTAAATACTTTATATATAAATATACAATAAAATGCTGTACAAATAGATAGAAAATACAATACAAGATACAAAAAACACCAAAACACAATAAAAATGCCTAAAGGGTACATTTCATTTAAATATTTAGAATACTTGAAAAATACAATAAACTATGCAGTAAAATATTGAAGTACAAGATAAAAAAAACAACAAACACCAAAACACTATGAAAACACCAAAAACTTCCAATTAGATTAAAATTAAATAGTAAAAGTAAATAAAAAAATATTAAATATATTAGATATTTTATTGATAGTTTGTTAATATCATAACATTTTTAAAATTTCAAGTAAACTAATGATTAATAAATGGTATTGTAAGTGTAGTAAGCAAATGATTTGCACAAAGCACTTAAATCAGTAGATTAAATCAATTGAATTTTTCAACTTACATAAATTTATCATTTGACATAAATGACAGGCAAATAATTGTTCATTATTTATAAACCAACTTGTGAATAATTTTTAATAATAATTATTTATTATTCATAAGTTCATGTAATAACTAATGAAAAATTAATATTGTTTTATAAGATTCAGTAATAATTAAGTATATTGTAATTTTACGAGCAATGACTTTTCTCAATCTAATTTCCTATTAGACAAATAATTTTGAATTGAATTGAATTGAATTTTAATTTACTGGAATGAAGTTCATGAATTTCATATTTTCATGATATCGGTTTCTTTTATTTTATTTTTTGTTTATTCATTTTAATACATTCAATTAATATACAATATAGTTTGAAAGAATATCTGAACTATCATTGGCATCATAAAAATGAACTCTGAGAATTGGTATCATAATCCCATTTTTCTAGTGTGAACACAAAAGCCTACATTTATGTACACGACAACCCATTCAAATTGTCTGATAAGATCGTGGTTAAATCTTCTTTGTAATTGTCTTTGAAATCTCTTGCATCAGTGCTTGCCGTTTCTATTCTGTTGTGTCAAGTCCTTGACCTACCCGTCAAGATGAAGAAACTCAAGCCTTTATTTAAATAAAACTCATCTTTTAGAACAAAAAATGACTCACAAAATTGTAAGAGTATCATTGCTTTTTGTATGCCTGAGAACCAGTCATGTGCAACCATTTAGAACCAACCAATCACAACAGAGAAGTGAGACAATGACTTGTCAGGCTTTATTGCTGGTGCATTCCCAAAGTAGACTGAAGCAGCCTAACCCATAAACCAACCACACTGCACTTTTATTGAAAAAAATAAATGGAAGAAAAACCTGGATGACAATAAAATGCCAAACATCTGCTTTTCAGCACATTTTGTTTACGAGTCCTCACAGCTGGCAGTTAAGTAATTTGCATATCATAATTTTCACGAGTGAAACACAATAGTAACTGTCATACGACATAGGCTAAGATGTTACTTTTAGTTTAGATTATATATGTCAATGACACTGTCTTTTGTTTTCCTTAATGGAGCTGTGAATACCAGGTGATGGTTGCTGCTTAATGTGGGACATAAAACCACTATTATCAACATTTTATCATTCAGGGAATATTACCATAGAGAAAATAGAACAGATTACCTACCTCTAAAAAACTTTGAGAAGTATGAAATAAAGTTCTATAAAAAAATATATATTTTTTCACCTTGTTTTTAGAACCCGAGTTAACGAAAGAATATATGCGATTGTGCGAAGGAAATAGAGTATAATAGTGAACCTTTTAGGATCCTCATTCAAGGTGCTATCATACTTTTCTTTTATTCATTTACTTTTGACTCTTTCCTTTGTAGCATACTTCAATTTGCATCAAAGTGGTATTGAGTGATTCGGTGACAGTGATATACATTTTTTTTTTTATTCTTGAACCAAGCATCCTCTCTTTGTGTCATCTTTGTATGTTTTGTTTACAGTGTCCTACTTTTTTACAAATGTATTATAACAATTGTCTTTTCCACCTTAGCACGTGATTTATCATTATTGCATACTATTGATCAATTAATTTGCACTTTTCAATTACCATTCTCGCAGTTGTTCTGCTAATAGCATGCAGAAAAGAAGTATGAAGTACTAAGCATGTGCTGTTGACTTAGATATATTAGTATTTGTTAAGAGTTTATTACTACTCTAGTTGTTTTATTTAAGTTGAAATTTTTCTTGTTTGTCCCGAGGAAGCTTCATTCAGAAGAAATTGCAGAAAAATTATTTTGCCCATAAGCATATTTGACTAATGTAGCCCATTCACAGTGATTGAACATTCAGCATGGCTGATCTTGTATTTTTGAATGATTGAGTAAAGAATGTTATATTTATGCATTGAAAACTTGGTAGCTTACATCAGAATATAGATCATAATAAAATGCATGGAAGAACTGATGTCATGTGAGATAAATGGCCATACAGTCTTACATGAGAGATTTGGTATCATATGCGAGAGAAATGGCCATCACGTTGCTTCCATGAGACCGTAATGAGTAATATAGAATGTGCATTTATACCAAAAAAAACAAAACAGTTGAGATGAAAAAAGAAAACTCATTTGTTTCCTCATTACACAAACTATAAGCTTTTTATGACATAATATGAAGATAGATATGTATAGATATGATCACCTGGTGATTGTTATTTTTTATTTATCAAAATGTTGTAATTCATGAACTTTTAGGGATTTTACATGTTGCTGCACATTACTATAGTACTCGTATTGACACAACGCTAACTTTTTTTGCATTTCTACAAAGAGAATTGTAATATCTATGCAACATTATATTAAATTTTGGATGAGTTAATTTTGACACTGGTATTATAAAAGTGAAATCTAAATATGCAATGTAGCAACATTTTGTATTTTGACGGTTAATGTTATAATTATTGTTTTATTCACCACACCATGGTACAATTGAATTTAAATTAATACCGTGTTGTACAGTATGAATGACAATTAAGTGATATCTCCTACATATTGTTTATTATTCTGTTTTTGCCAGATTCAAATGTGACCTGTTCCTCTTATTGCAATTTCTATTTTCTCATAAGCACCGAAAGTGTTCAAAAATCAGAATTTTGAACATTTTCAGGTTTTTGCATTTTAATTTTATAAAAGAAGATAATATTGAAGAACCTTTCTGCAAAACATCAATCACTAAACCTAACTAAAAGTTTATGTTAAAATTATTTTTAAAATACAAATCTTGATAATAAACTAATGATTTTGGAATCTTGTTTTCTCAAAACCTACATGGCTGTTATCAAATTAATTAAGTATTCATAACTTCGCTAATACTCAACCAATTTCCATCAAATTAACACCGTTTTAAAGAAGAATTCATGCATAATCTAAAAATAATAAAAACTCAATTTTGAACAGCTGGTTTTGCCAGAGTCAGAAATAATAATAATAATAATAATAATCATAACTTAAACTATTTTTTTTGTAATATATGTCCCGGTTGTTCACAAAACATATTCTCAGTAGTTTCATAATTAATTATCATAATGCAGAGGTGACCTTGAGAAGTCAGTATTAAAAGTAGAACAATAGATGTGCATTCTACTCTCATATAAACCTGTGTGTTTGTAAAAAACAGGAATTTGTACCATAGTAACAGTCATTCATTCAATACAGTATTAACTTTATATTCATCCATTAAAATGGTTCATTGTTATTGTTAAACAGCCATACAATTTATTTTCACTTGATTGTATTTACCATTAAATCCAGTTTTCCTAGTCATATTTGGTTTGTTAGATTTTTCTTTCCTCAACTATTTTAGAAGAACCCCTACTAAAGAAAAATGACTCTTAACCTAAATTTATCCTAATATTGACCCAACTTGTTGACAGAATCTTTAGCCATGGCAGGCCAACAGCAGGCAACATAAGCCATCATACCCAAAATCCATGGCTGTATAAACGCAGTCTTAAAAGGGTGGAGGGGGGCTGTTAACGGTGTGAGGGTGGAGTGGGGCTCGATGATTAAGTGAGGGTGCGCTAGGTTGCGAAATAAGGCTCTATGAGGTGATTTTTCACTACTTGATCATGATTTTTTTGCTTCATACATTTTCAATAGGGTGGGATGACTGTTGAAGGGGCGCAAGATCTTTTTGGGGGAGTGCGTGCAATTGTGAGTAATATTCTAGGCTTTAAAATCTCAACAAAATGGTTTTTACTTTTCTTAGGATGCTGCGGATATACTGGGCAAGGTGTTTGTCAAAAGCTCTAATTCGTAGGAATTTTGCCGTAAAATCAAACAATACATAGTCACAATACAGTAACACAAGTTCAAAAAATTATTGTTTATTAGCTTAAAGGATTACACTGGACTAAATTCAGATGAAAGAACTCTAGCTATTTTATTGCATTTGTGTAAATTTTGGTTTATACATCTCCTGAGTGCTATATATAGTATCTTATTTACATTTTAATTTTATCCTTAAAGATTTTAATTTCAATTGTAGTTATCATACAGTATAACACATTATAGAATTTAAAAATATTATTTTACTAATCTCTAATTTCATTCAAATTCATAACATTTTCTGTTTTTTCAATTCAGCAAACTAAATCAAATGATGCATTTAAGGTTGTGGGCTTGTGCTGCAGTAGTTCATCATACATTTTAAAATGGTATCAACAATAGTCAATATGTTAAGTTTTTTATTTAGATGTTGGTCTTAGAACCTGTGGCCACAATAATTGTCTATAATAAGCATTTGACAGATCTCATTTAGTACTATGTATGATCCTACAAATTAAAGCTTTTTACAGCATCTAGAATTGATGCTAATTTGGCCAAAGATCATACGCATTTTTTTCCAACGGCATGCCAAAACAGTCAAGATTTCTAATTGGAAGTGATGGATCATTCCTATGTTTGTTAATCTTAAACATAACAGATAATTTGAAAACCAAACATACTGTAATTCCCAACCAGAAATATAAACTAGTTTGTGCAATTTGATTAATTTTATTGCATATCCAATATGCACTAAATTTGTATTTATTAATCTGTGCTACAAACATTCAGAAGTGTGTGTACATTACGTTGTATTTATGTGATCACATTCATTATGTACAGGACCATGTACCACATTAGTTTTTTTTTTTCTATTTTTCCTATTTCAAATGGAAAATTTAAATATTGGCTGAGTCCCTGGGGACCCACGGCAGCCGCTGTGTAGTGCCAGCACTTGAATGTAATGGATGCGTTGTCCCTCATCCGCCTAAATCTTAAGTGACAGTTATTTGAGAAGCTGAGCAATTGGACTTCAATTAAAAACCAGCGTTGACTGCCAGACCTTAATTTTAGGTTCCTACCCTTGTACCAAAACAAGTACACATGTACAAGCATATTTTATCTAGTCATATACAGTGGAACCCCTATTAAGGGGACACCTTCAAGACCAAAAATGTGTCCCTCTTCCCCCCTCCCCCTTCTTAAATAGGAGTGTCTCCTGAATAGGGTACTCCTATTCAGGGGACACTAACCAAAAACGTGAAATTTTCCCCTTAATAGGGATTTTTGGCATGTTTTCTTATAATGATGACATGCATTCTTCATAATTTTATTTTAATTGACCTAAGAATGAGTTACAGTTTTGCAATTTGCAATGCAAAAAATAATTCATTTAAGATACTACAAAATTTGCGTATGTTCCTGATATTGTTTCTTTTTTCAAGTGCAATATTAATGACCAAATATTCTTTTTTTAAATATTGAGCTTTCTTTTGGATGCACAAGATAGAATACTATAATAGATATTACCAACTTAGAAAATCATATATCAAAATACTCAAAACAAGAAATCTCCATGACTAAGCATCAATGCCCATTTTATAGGATGGAAAAAATCCAGTTTGATGTTAAATTTATTGCTCAAAAGGTGTCAAAATATAAATATGAATGATTGTTTTCTTACTATGTGGCTGCTGTAGCTGTTTTGATACAAAAAAAAAGTGTCCCCTTAATAGGTGTGAAATTGTACTGATTTGACCATTTTGTACACTTAAGAAGTTTCCCCGTCCTGTTAATAGGGCGTCCCCTTGATATGGATTGGCTGTAGTGTCGGTGGCAATGGGACAATACTTTTTATTGCCTCTGCCAAGTGAAAGTATTCTGCTTTTTTGCATGGGTTAGTATATGTTCAGATGCAATTGAGTGTACAACCTGTCACGACAAACATACATACGTTATTTATACGTTAGTCCTTTTTCATCCAGGAGTTCGCACCACCAGCTTCCATAATTATTGTTTATCATCTACTTGCTAATCCATGGCACGGTCAAGGGCTAATGTCTTTTGTCGTAGAGGTCGCAGTCCCCGCTACTGTCAGCGCGATGTATGCGATACAGTATATAATTTAATATTTTTCAATAAGTGCTAACCGGAGTACATAAACACAGATCTCCGGTTGGCGTTGATGGTGTAACCCCATACTTCGGTTTGGGTGCTAGCTTGGTGTTTTTTTTTTTGGTTTTTTTTCCGGCTTTTTTCTTTGTGTTCTTGACTTCATTATTGTCTAGCTTTGGTGATCTACTTTGTGACGATCAAGATTTAAGATTAAAATTCATTTGGTAATTTGAATATAATGTAGACTCTGTCTCTTATACACATCTAGATGTGTATAAGAGACAGATATGAACCTCAGTTGTAACTACTTTAAAATCTAACTCATCCAGTAAACTGTAAATCACTAGTTGTATAACCATAGAAACATAAAAATGCAGGTTAAGCAAATTGGTTTCCTTAGATTTGACAAATAAAACTCTGAAATTGTTATTTAAGTGTCCAATTTAAAGATTACTTCGTCTATACTTCTCCAACATCATGGCCAAGTAGACTAGTATTTGCCGTGAGTAGTAGTAGTACGGAATAAAGTGGTTTTTATCATCACATTCCATTCGGGGAATAACCATTGTATACTGTGTTATAGCTTTTATTTGACAAGCGTCTTATATGGAGAGAATTACACAAAGACTATACCTACCTATCTCCCCATGTAACTTCTCACAGGGGAATAACTAGTTAAAGATCTCGCTTCAATGCTAGATCTTAATTTATGTGATTTTTAATACCAATTAGAAGAAATGCTGATGCTAGAAATGGGAAAAGTCAATATTGACTAAGTTACATACATATATATAGTAGGGTTGGCTAATTGATCATAAAGTTTTAATACTTGAACCAAAGAACGATTGAAAACAAAGGAGGAAATACTACAGATGTCAAGTGAGTGATTAGTGAAGTTATTCAAATTTTAAACATATAATAGCAAATTATAGACAAAATATACCATGCAAATTTGTTATAAGTATTAATTTTATATTATAAATGCCATTATCCTCATTATTATTTTTTGTTGTTATCATTAGAATTATTATTATTATTATTATTATTATTATCATTGTTATTATTATTATTATTATTATTATTATTATTAACAGTTTTTAAATACTATATTTTATTAATGTTTATTATTTTTAAATACTTTTATCATAATTGTTTGTAAATATATCCCACCATATCATTATTGTTATTTAAATATCATTACCATATTTGAAATATATTCATATTTATTATAACTATTATTGAATATTATCATCGAACAGTATCCCATTTTTTCCATATATCAAGCTTTTCAGCTAATCTATCCAAGATAATGCCATATTACGTGGCTGGTGTTTTTATCACAGCGAAGGGAATAAAACAGCAGTAACATGCATGTGTAGAGTAGCACACATGCACTTAATTCTACAGCTTTGCTTTGCAAGACCGGACCTATTGTCGATCTCTGAGAGGCTATCAGATCAACTACTATAAAAAAGGAAATACAAAGGTTAAACATTTAATAGGATTGTAAAAGATTCAACATTTTTTATTGAAATTCAATACTTCCGGAATATGAGTTTTCTATTTGAAGTTCAGATTGAAGTTGTTGTTTATACTTTATGTAATGCGGGTGAAATCCATCTAGAAACACCTGACCAACTGGGTCTAATTTAGATTAAGTTGTTGCTGAAGATATACTGTCTGTATTAAGCTAAGTATCTTAGAAGGAAAAATAAATGCCATTAGCTTCCACTCGGCCATCAATAAGAAAGAAAATGTTTAAAGAAAATAATTAACAGATGCACAATTAATACCGTTCCTATATTCTTAAGATAGAATTTATTTTTCTGGTAAGTTATGATTCCAACTTTAAATGATCTATAAATTTAAGTTGGTCCTTTTATATTCTATGCAATTAGTTCTACCTAGTTTGCTTGTAGTTGCATGATCATGAGTAAAAGTAGACATGTCAAGTACTACCGGCAACCAGCCGAGGCCACATAATGTCAGCTGAGTTGAGTGGACAACGGAGACTCAAGCTTAGCTTTAGAAGCATAGATATCTAACATGTTGTTTTTGTTATTAGGGAGTTTTCGGTATCTCATTCATTGCCAATATAATCAGATGCCATTTAAATGTAGCAAATACATTCAATTTCAGGCTCTTTATTCATTGCTAGGGATCCAGCAGTTGAATTTGCATTTGAATATCTAAGGGAGGGGGCAGGGAGCATGCTTGTAATCAAGCAGAACTTGCGATCAAGCAGATTAAAATCACCTTATTTTGCTAGCTAGCGTCCCCTTACATAATCATTGAGGTCCCCACTTCACCTTCGCACCCCTCATCCCCCTCCCCCCCCTCTTATACACATCTAGATGTGTATAAGAGACAGGTTGAGTGAAAAAAATCACTGTACAATAAGTACCTGTCTCTTATACACATCTAGATGTGTATAAGAGACAACAATACAATCACCTTTTTGTCAATGACTAACAACTTGTTATTCACTAAGTGGATTAGCATATTATTTAAATATTAGGGCAACACGCATATGGTAGGGAAAAATATAAGTTCTAATGTGACACTCATGTACAGTTGTGTTTGCTTTCTTGTATTTTTTGGGTGTATTCTCGTACATCATTTGCAGGGCCCATTATCTAAGCAAATCACATTAAAGCCTGGGTGTTCAGTAATGCACTGAATATGGCCTGTTATTTCTTCATCTGCTTCTTTTTTGGTCTGGATTTGTCCAAATTTCAGGCAACACACACTCTCCTCATATCATCACATTTTTCACATGTGCATCTATAATAAAGTATACTTATTATGTTAAAACTACAGTTTAAAATTAACCTTGCCACACTGTACACACCAGCCTAATTATTATTATTTTTCAAATTACCAACTGAATTAAAAAAAGAATTGTTTTATATTAAGGAATTTGAAATATCAAAACCTTTTATGTCTGGCCTATACAGTTGAAAAATTTGGCCAAAAACGACAACGTTTGCACACTAGGGCTGCCCTAGCTAAGCCTAGTCATTTGCTATGAGTATTAAAAAAAATATAAGTCCTATATTATTACGAAAATATGATGTTACATCAACACATTAATAATGACGATCCAATAATAATAATAATGCCTGGGTCGGCCCTAACCTTTATATTCAGTGGAAACATTATTATTATTATTGGAAACGGTACTACTTGAATCAAACAACGTACGCGTAAAATTTATTGTGCAAGCATGCACAATAATGGCATAGGAAGTTGACCATATGAACTCATGTCAAATTAACAAATTTTCTGAAAATTGGTACGGGTCACCTCTTGGATTTGGCTGATTTTTTTTTTTTTTTAAGATTGAACTATCTATATATTGAACACATGCAAAAAAAAAGAAAATCTTAATTCCAAGTCGTTTTGGAGATGTTTGTGGAGAAACCTTTTACTCACCGCATTTAATCAAAATTTGGGAAAGCTCTAAAAATATACAAAAATTGTCATCATTCTGGGTGACCTATGACCTTGATGGCATTTACTCACCAACATAAAACTTCTATCATTTGCTAATGCTAGTCTAAACTACCTTTGGTTAAAATTTAATTTTGGTGTCTCTTCCCCTTCATGGTTAGGTAGAATTTTAAAATCTGGCATTTTACCCATTTTTACAGAGTTTGTAATTCGCATGTACTGAGATAGGCTATAACATGGTGATGTTTCTCCAAGTTTAGGGAACTCGCCTATTTGAAGCAGAATAGCTCTGAGCGTTTTAAGACCATTTTCATCGAAATAGAACAAAAAATAAATTCATGCAGACTAAAAGACTAATTTTAGGGGATTGGAGGGCAAAAATTACCCCGTTTTTGGAACATTTTTATTCTGGTGTTGATTTATATATTTGTTAAATTCTAGAAATCAAATGAGAGTCATTTGTGTATAGTGTTGTGGAAAAATTCAGTAAAGTATTTCAAGTTCATGAATTTCCATATATTCATGGTATCTCCTAGTAGGGTAAAAACTATTTTAAAAAACATAGAAAATAAATCATTTCAAATATAAGTTGTACACTAAAGTGAATAGAAGCTCTTTTATTGGATTCCTAGCCCTTAATAGGCATGTCAGGCCAAAATCATTCAATCACTGCATTTGCTTGGAAGTTATGTTATCAAAAGGAGCATTATAAACCATTTTCAAAACTTTTTACAGAATTTAAATCGGACCATTAGTTCCGGAGTTATACATCGTTTGCACTGACGTCACACATTTCCCATAACACTTAGCGAAGCGCCATTTTGGTGGGCAAACAATCTCCTCGCGACGGCCTTTTCTGTATTGTTCTGTATTAAGGAAGTATCGAAATGGGTTATTCTTGTGCAATTATAGGTTGTTCAAAACGTTATGGACGGGATAAATTGTATAGATTTTACAGATTACCATCTGTAGTCACTAGGGAAGGCAAGGAGCACGAGGAGTTAACGAGAAAACGGCAAAGAAAGTGGCTTGAGAACATAAGCAGATCGGATATCAAGACGTCAAGCTACAACAATATTCGTGTGTGTAGCGACCATTTTGTGAGCGGTAAGTAAACTGCAACTAGGCCTAGGCCTAGGATAGGCTAGCTGTTGTATGTAGGTCTAGGCCCTAGTAAGAGTAGGCCTATACTTCGCATTATTTAAAAATATTGACAAATGTGCTTCGTTGGTTCGGCCTACAATGCATGACGCTGGCGATGAAAATGATTGCTCTTTTAGCCAAGCCTAGGCTAGGCCTAGCCTAGGCCTGGTCACTCAGCAGTCAGCCCCGTCGTGACCTCTCGCTTTAGGATTGCTTTATGCAGCCTAACTAACGTCGAGAGTACGGCTGGCCGGCTACGGGCCTAGCAATAGCATTTAAAGTATGGCTAAGCCTAATAATAAAAGCACTGTTCTTTATTGTTTTATGTTATAGGTCAACCTTCATACTTATATGATCAGACGAATCCCGATTGGGCACCAACTAGAAATCTAGGACATATGAAAATCAGTGAGGCCAGTGTGAAGAAATCAATTGAACGGAACCAACGTTTAAACAAACGAAGATCAAACATCATTAAAAGAAGAAATAATGATAGCCGTCTTCCTGTAAGTGATGATGATGCCGGTGCAGCTAATGAAACATTGACTGCTGTTGACGAAGGTAAATATTAATACTAGAAGTTCATAACAAGATAAATGTTTTATTTTAATTTATGTGCCTCTCTTTTCTGTAATGATCATAAAAATATACGTAATCACAATAAAAATAATTTATTTTTACTTCCTGTGTATGTAGAAATTCCCAGAGTTGAAGCTGAACTGAATGGCGATGAATGTTTCGGACCTGTAAATGAAGACTGCCAAACTGACTTATCTTCTAAAGACATTGCTAGCTTAGAAAAATGTTTAGAGAATGCGAATGACGAAATTTACAGACTCCGAAATCAAATTGTAGATTTAAGCTTCAATATGGACTCATTTAGAAATGATGATGCTAAAGTACGATACTTCACAGGCCTACCAAATTTTCAGGTATTGTTGACTGTCTATAATTTTGTAGCACCAAGCATCACGACAACACAAAGGAACTCATTAACCAAATTTCAAGAACTGTTAATAGTGTTGATAAGACTGCGATTGAATTCGTCATTCCAAGATTTAGGATACAGGTTTTCTGTCTCAGTGTCCACGATAAGCCGAATTTTTTATCGTTGGTTACCAGTGTTGGATGAGAGACTTTCCTTTTTGATTTGCTGGCCTGAGAGGGAACAGCTCCAAAAAACCATGCCTGTTGCCTTCTGAAAGTCCTTTGGAACAAAGGTTGCCGTTATTGTTGACTGCTTTGAAGTCTTTATCGACAGGCCCTCAACTTTGTCAGCCCGTGCAATGACGTGGTCAAGTTATAAGCATCATAACACTGCCAAGTTTTTGATAGGTATCACGCCTCAAGGCGTAATTTCATTTATATCAAATGCATGGGGGGGTCGTGTCAGCGATAAGCACATAACGGAAAACTGTAAATTACTAAACAATTTATTGCCAGGAGATTTGGTTTTGGCAGACAGAGGTTTCGATATTGCGGACAGTGTAGGCCTATGCCTGTCTCTTATACACATCTAGATGTGTATAAGAGACAGGGGCAGACTTGCCTAGATAACAAAACCAAAATAATGGATATATTATTAGAAATTATATAATATTTTACCAAACTTGGTAAAATGCAGAAAAAGAGTCCGCCGAACCCCCAGTGGCATTTGCTTATTGCCAGAGTAAAAAATGTAGATATCATCCAATATTCGTGGGATAAAATTATTATTATATTTCGATAGAATGTATTATTAAAAATTGGTTGCTAATAATGCCATCAATGTACATAATCATTGGAAAATGAATGGCACATTAACTATAAGATTTTTATTTGACCCCACCACATTTGCAGCTCTCAAAAAATTAAACTGGAACAGGCTTGATACAAACCAGTTTCACAAAAACTATCCCCCGCCGGACACCATCCCGGAATTTCTGAGTTTCGGGGCTGGAATTGCAAGATATATATTGTTAATTACTGTATATTGATTTATTATTCTAGGAAACGAAGGTCTCCATCTAAATAATCTTGGTAAAAAGCATAGCACGAATCATCATCATCGTCGTATCTCACAAGAAACATCTGCTCAAATGGATTATCACTACTGCCTTCTTTCCGAATAACAGTTCCGGACCACCACGTTTCACTATTATCATTTGCTTCAAACAACTGTTCGATTCGCTTTCTAACTAGATTAGGTAGCATACCAGCTTCCATTTCAAGCTTTCTTCCAACTCTTGTCCTTTCTTTCTCTTTCTTCTCTGTCATCTTTCGGACCTTAATCAACTCTTTTTCTGTATTTTCTTTGTACGTTTTTAGTTGTTGCTCAATCAATGCTTCCCTCTGTTCTTGAGTAATAATTTCCTCATCAGTAGTTACACAATCTTCATTTTGCGGTTGTTTACATTTTATAATTTCTTTTAGGTTGCTTGCAAGTTCATCTACAGAAAACTTCCTACCAGCAGCACTGAAATTGAAGTGAGATTTTGTTGGAGCCTCATACCCCATCACTTTCCTAAGCCGGAGCTGTGCCTTCAATTGTGGCTCTAAGTCATGAGCACTCTTTGATAACTGTTCATTAATTTGATCATTTGTCTCCCACAATCCACCATCCTTGGCCACTTCTGATAGTGCACGCGTCTTCTCTTGTAACTTCTTCTCTTCCTTCTGTCTCTTCTCTACTCTATTTTGTAGATTCTTGCATCTCTCTTCACACAACTTCTTTTTGCTTTCTTCGTATTTATGTTTAATGGATGAAGATTGACTTCTCGCCTGCTGAAATAAATCTTTCTTCTCCGCTGGGTTTAATGATGTTATGTACTCAGTAGTTTTGTTGTGTAGAAACATGATGTTTGCTTCCATTGATATACAGACATGTTTGGTTTTAGCCTTTTCAAACGGTGTAGTGTTCCAAAGTCTCGCTCGGATACGGTGTTTGTTTTTGGCATATATGTCATCTGCTTACGGGACAATTCATCATCTGAGACATGGAGTTCACCTGGGAGAAGATCTTCGAGTTGTCGTGTGAGTAGTAGGACTGATGATCCCATCAAAACCTTTAATGCTTCAAGCGTCAAGGTGTCCATCTGTATGGTATCTGGCTTGAAGAGGGCATCATAGATGTGGTCTTTGTTGATGGTGATATCTTTAAAAACAAAGGCTGATCCAACAGTTCGGATGTGTCTGTGGACCATTCCCTACACTTCTCTATGAGGACTTGGTAATTAGTGGTCATCTCACTGATGTAGATGTCACTCTCGAGTATGTTCCATAGAGGTGTGGTGATAACCTTGCTCATGATTCCAAGGGCACGACTACCGGCCAGAAGCACGTCTTCATTTACATCTGCTAATATAGCTCGATGCAATTTGTTTAGGTTGTTCCAAACACTGCCTAAAAAATGTTGTATATCCCTTCTATGGTAGTACACTGCTCCACCATTCTTGAATATAACATTAAATCTGTTGCCTCTAAATGTTAACAGTTCCGACTTTTTGTGTGCTCCATACAAGTATGTACAGAAGTGTATCGGAATGCCGGACTTCTCACAACCATGGCGTTCAAGGGCCTTGCATGCAGTCCTGATTAACCGCTGTGTGGCCGATTCAGACTTGCTCGTGAAATGTCCTGGAAGGAATGCAGCTCCAAGTTTTTTGTCTCCACAAGCTAATTTTTCCCATACTTTGAGAGCTGCATCAGCAGCTGATGCCAAATTGACGATTACATGCATCCCGCAAAACCTATTGTTCATTTGCATGACCTTCAGTTTTTCATTTTCTGGCAAACTTACAAACCCTGGAATAACTTCAGGTAAGGCTCTCGCTCTAAGTTCGTACAATTTTTCATTGAAGCATTTGTTTACAATGTGTCTGTCAGACATCGTGTTTGTCAGAGAATGCAAAAGCTTACATTCCATTTGTGCTTTACTGGACTCGCTGGTCGGTGTGAAGCTGGCAAGGTCCTTTATAGACTGGTGGAATGTGTCCAGCAAAGTGTCAGTGTTTTCGGAAACAATTTCACTCAATCCCAGGACAGCGATCCATAGTTTCCAGAGACCTGAAATGATTGAAAATGGTGACCCTGTCTTGATGTTCCATCTGTGTGTAGAGTATTGCATGTACTATCAAGCAAAGAATGTGCAGCTTGAAACTTGGCGATGAAGAGGGCCTCTGTCTGTAGTGTATTGATAAATGCAGTCTATGGGAGACGATCCACTGAAATGTTGGCCAATTTACCTAGCACAATTTTGACCACTAGACCTATATGGCGAACTCCAACTTGTTCAGCTAGCAGATCCATGACAGCCTCTCTTATGTCATCATTGTACTTGCCGTCTTCAAACAATTTCAGTTCTTTCGATTCAAGCAACTCGTTTAGCTGCTAGAGCTGAAAATTTTCATCTGTTGCAGTTATCTTTTTTTCCATGGCAGAAATATCATCCAAATTGAAATTCATTCAGTCACTGACTGACTTCCCCTTTAACTTGCACACATTTCGACGTAATGCTGTACATTCTTTCTTCATATCAGCTAAGTTTTTTTCCAACTTTTTAATTTTATCATCATCAGCTGCTACTTTTTCTTGTATTTCCATTTTAAACTTTCTTTCAAGCTTCAGTTCTTCACCCATTTTATGAATCTTAATATCTCTCCTCTCTAATTTGCGCTTCATATTCCGTGGTTGCAATAGGGATATCTGGCTGTGGAGTTGAACTATCTTTTCGCTTTGCAATTCAAATTGTGTTTGCAGTGATGATAATTTATTAATATCGCTTCCAGCAATCTCTGCTGTCAGTTTTGTAATCCGACTCCTACATTCTTCAATTTCATTATGAAGTGATCCGACTACTACTTCAGCTTTCACTTTCTCCTTCTTTACTTGTTGTAATTCTTTGTCTGTCTCTACCAACTTTACTTTCAGGCGTTTCACTTCATTACTTTTTTCCTGTAGCTTGCTTTTTGTCGCTGAAAATGCAGCACTTGTACCTTAAATGTAACAAGAATAAAAAAAAATAAATGATATGTATACAGTGCTACTATTGCATATATACACATAAAATAAATAATGAAATGAAGTACTGTACCTTGCTGCACTTCAGGTCTGGGAGCAGGACCAGTGAAGGGGTTTATTCAAAAATGATTGGTCAGACTTTTTCTTATTAGCTCGCTTCTTCTTGTCAGCAAGAGTACGTGCCTTCTTTAGTAATTGTTTATCAGAAAAAGACTTGATTTCAGGTGCTTTAGATGGTGGAACTATACATATTAACACTCTCAAGAATAATGAACCATTACAAACATTAAAGATGTTAATGATTAACCCATTTGTAAATCCAATTTCTGGAACATAACCGCAAGAATCACCATCTACCAGACTACGCCATTCATGTTGAGATGTTGGAATATCACTGATTAGTTTCATCTGGAAAAAGTATTGAATTTTAAATATTAAAATGTGAACTAATAATGTTTTGTATTATTTACATTATGTATTATTACATGTACTATACAGTATTGCAAAATAATAAAGTTGAAAATAAAATGTACTGTAGTGGTAGTATTTTTCATTAAAAATTAATTTTCACCCAAAAATATTAAATTTAATTATTCATATAACATTGCTATTCAATAATATTAACCAATTGTCCACCAACAAAACTTGAAACAACATTTAAATTACATAATTTTATTTTACTTGTAATTTTTAGTTTGCAAAGGGAGTAAGCATAATAAACAGAACAGACATAAACTAGCGTGACGGGTCTTTACACATAAGATTACTATTCTATTTATAGGACTTACCCCCTCCGTAATTGCTTATCAAAATATCGTAATACGCGGTTTACATTTAAAATTATATTTAACCAAGATGAAAATATGTAACTAACTAATTATCTTATACGATTCCCTACTCTACGCCGGCAAGCGTCGCCTGAGATAACTGATTTCACCGTGCACAACGAAGGCCGCTGAACTGGTTTACGGTCGTCTAGTTCGAGCCTAGATATACGTGTTCTAAAAACATTTCTGCGTCTACTTTGCCGGTTTATTTACAAAAAACGATTCATCTCACGTTTATTAATAATAATTGAAGTTCCATATATGATCAGGCGAATTAAAAAAAATTAATGAAAACTTAGAAAACCTACCGTAAAATCTTCAAATGTCCATAACTTTCGAACCATTCGTCATAAAAACATTCGCCACACATGGATAGAAAGCTGAATGCTTAAAGAATCGATCTGATTGGTTTATTTTGCTCTATGACCTATGGATCTTGCGGAAATCACATGTCTTCCCTCGCTGAAAGCCAGAAGAATATGGCCAACTGTTGTTGCCCTTGATCCGGCGTCTCGGTTTCCAAAGTAGTAAACTAAATTTACTGTAACTGCCAAATACCTTAGTTTTAACGTAAAAACATAGAATATATATTCGACTAACGATATATTATAGTTTTATTTCGGTAGATTGTAGTTAAATATTTTAAATTAATTTTTATATTTGGACGTATTT